TGTAGCAGCAATCAAAAAGGCTATTAAGAAGAATGGTGGTAATTAGGTTGATAAACAGGTCATATTCTTAAGGGGACACATATTTTTCAGTTTTGTTGGTATATTTTATTTTTTGCAGCAATTGTGATTTATATTAATATTTTCTGGATAATACATGCATTGACATCATTATACAAATGTGTGTGTGTGTGTGTGTGTGTGACAGTGTGTGCATTTATGCACATGTGGGCCTGTGTGTGCATATGCACATCAGTGTCTGCATGTGTGTATGTGTATGAGAGAAAATGCATTGTTGTTATTGAGCTGTTAAACTTTGTTTTACAACCATTTTTGGGTGTGAAAGAAAAAATACATTGTCATAATTGATTAATTTATAGCTATTTTTGGTACTCCAATAATTCACATGCAATGGCTGTGCTTATTAGGTGCCAATGTACACCAAGTATTATTTGCCAAAACTATTTTGTTTAAGGGACCCTGTGATAGGATCAATTTATTTCCGTTTGTGCAGTATTATTTTCCTGTGTCAGTGATTATCATTCATTCATAATTACACACTGCATGTGTTTGCTCATCCATAGGTCTCATGTACAGAACTTCCAATTTAGTTTTGTGATCTTCATCATAGAGGCATATTTTTATGGTAGTTTCTTAAGAAGATTCAGTTGCCTCCTTTGACAATCAGTGGTCTCTCTCTTTTTTTCTTTTTTTTCCCCTCAATCATGTATACCATCAAATCAAAAATTTTCTTCAGTCTTTGTAATAGGCCCTCCATTTTCCATGAATGTGCATAAAAATTATTTTTTGAGAGCCATTTAGATACTATTGATGTTTGTGAAACTTTCTGAACCTTTTGCTGTTTTGAAGATTTGAATTTATTTCTAGTCTAGAATCGTAAATAAAATAAATTTTAGTGGTGTATGTTAAGGTGTTGCATCAAATATTTCTTTTCTCCGGTGCACAAAATAATGCTGATTGGGTATTATGCTCTTGTCTTACATGCTGAGAAAGGGTCATGAGTTGGAGTGTGATTCTCTAAGTGTTTTAAAGAGGAATGCAAAGGACCGTCAAAAACACCATTTCCAAAATGAAATACATTTGCATGTGAGATACAGACAAATGTATTGGTGTTATTCCAATGTAATGTTTTTCTTGCCATTGAAGTGATAAAATCAAATGAACAAGGAGTGTGAAAGTGCACAAATCTAGATATTAAAAAAAATTTCCCAGCACAATTTTTTTTCTGTATGAATATGTACAGGAGAACAAAAAAAGCTTCCTGGCTTGCACATAGAATTCACTGATGTTAAATACCTACCAAGTTGGGATGCTTCCCTATAGTAATGGTCTAAGCTTTTTTATGCAAAACAGCATTTACCAATTAATATTCTTGAATGTATTTTCTTAGCCAAAGCCAGAATGCATTTATTAGATGCCTCCTTGCACGTCTGTTTTACCTTATACCAGCTCTAGTTGAAGGCAAAGAAAAACTGATCTAGTGTTTGTTTAAATCTTATTTGATATTTCACTTCCATTGTACATAGTATCTGAGTATAATAGGAAGCATATCAGATCGGAAGATGTGAATGGTAACATCATATTTGTGTACCATGTTAAGAGATCACCATACAAGATAAGAGGATGTTTGCAGAAGTTTTTAATATAGTGTCAGCTTAGGCTCATGTTTCTGGTAATTGACCGGAAAATGAAAGAGAATTAATGGTAACGAACAACAGGCATCTCCATATATGCTCATTTTCTTATTTTTCATCTTTTGGGATGCCTCATATGTAATCTTTCATTTGTGAGATGATTAATTCAACTCATTGCGTGCAGGTGACATTACATATATGCCAAGTCTACTGTAATTTTAGTTAATGAATTGTGTTTATGTCTAGATGGTTCCACATGTGTTTAGCTGTCAAGGAGTCAATTACTAGTTCCTACCTTTCACAAATGTTTTAACTTTCCTTCATTTTTAGTAAAAGTTTTTTGTATTTTTTGTTGTTATTAGCATTTCAGTAACATCATGATTGTTTTGTCAATGATGGTAATAACAATATGGATACTAATAGCATTGAAAATTCAAGGAGTGGGGATATGGTGTGAGTTGAGAGCCTAATAATTGACTCGGTGATGGCTGACCTCTAATGGATGCATCTGGCACAACAAACACAAAAGAACTACGGTGGACAGCACATGCACCTGTGGCTAATGGGTTAATGATAATTTTTCATATTGCATCAAATCACTATGAAAATTGTTACATCCATGTATGTAGCTTTACAATATCCAGTGTGCTTTCATGTAGCTGCTTCTATAGATCTGCGTTCCAGGAGACTAATTTTAACAGGCTAGAAGTCGGCTATTTTAGCATGGAATTACCTACAAGTGCACATGAATCTAAATGCACATAAAACACACGCACACGCACACACACACACACACACACACACACACACACACACAGCGCACACTCACACACACACACACACACACACACACACTACACACACACACACACACACACACACACACACACACACACACACACACACACACACACACAACACACTCACACACACCTTCTCACACTCACACACTCACACTCACACACACACACACACTTTCTGCACTCACTCACTCTTTCTCTCTCTGACTCACTCACTCACAGTCACATGTACTCTTACACATGCACCCACACACACATGCACGTGTGCACACACACAAGCATGCACGCATGTGCACATGTGCACACGCACAAGCATGCACGCATGTGCACACACGCACACACTTACACACATGCACGCACACACACACACACACACATGCACGTACACACACACACACACACACACACACACACACACACACACACACACACACACACACACACACACACACACACACACACCACACACACAGACTCACACAAACATACACTCACACAAACATACACTCACACAAACACGCACTCTCACACTCACACACACACACACACACACGCACACACACACGCACACACTCTCATGCACGCACACTCACTCACACTTACACTCACTCTCACTTACTCACTTTAGTTGCTCTAACAGGCTGTAACATGCATTTGTAAGGAGTAGTCTTAAGTGATGGATAACCATTCAATAATAAAAGAATGCGCGTTTGAGTTCATCACAAATAATTGCTTTAAGAACATTTATTAGATTATTGGAATATTCAGAACTGTGATTTTTTTTTTTTTTTTTTTTTTTTTTTTTTTTTTTGGTACACAGTATTGTATTTAGTAATTAAGTAAATAACAACATAAATTTGATGCTTAATTGTTGGTATTTATTGAATTACAATTGTTTTTACTACAGTTCTCTCAGCTTTGGGTCAGTTTACGTCTGTTTTTATCAAAGATTTAGCTTAGATAAACTATTAGGGTTATGTGCACAATTATTCAGCGTATTACATTCTATGACCTAGTTTTAGTATCTTTCTTAGTTCTTTGTGATGTTTGTGAATCTCTATTGTTCAAAGCCATTGCCATAATCTTTGTAGATTTGTTTTTCTTTTTCTGGTAAAAGCTTTGTTTTTGTTTATGTAAACGAGTTTCAAAAGGAATTTTTAAAATTAATTGCATAAAGGCCAGTGAAGCAACTTCATTGATGCTTGGATATTACTGTTCTTCTATTGTAAAACCTGTTTTGTTACCAACCTACTTGCAGTGGGTCTCACATGTGTGACATCCAGAAAAAAAAAAAAAAAAAAAAAAAAAACATATCCGGGCGTCCTGCCGGTGCAATGCTAGATTGGAGCTTGCGCTCTGATTTTGTTGCCTGTGGTACGCGTTGTGTGGCGTGCAAGCAGGTTCCCGGACTGGCCTGCACGCCGATTTTGAAGCTGCCTGGAAACCATCATTTACGGCTTGGAAATGTACCAGCTCTAGTGGGTTAAGAGTCAGTCTCTTAGACTGATAATATACATTTGCAGGCATTCCTGCTTTGTTTTTATTGTGATATGTAATCCATGCAGGCATTTATTTGTCTCTAAACAAGTACTAACCTGTACTGAAATGTTCAATAAGGAAACTTTGTTCTTTAATATTTGGTATACTTTTTTTTGTATATTTTGGTTTCATTATAGTTACTGTTATGTTACAGTATGTTGATTTTTGTAATACAAGGATCCTCTTTTTTGTATACACAAAAATTTGTCTGACAATTAATATCTAGTCTTAATAAGAAGGAGCAATGGTTACACACTACCTAATAGTTGTTGCATTTTTCATTTTACTTTATGTGGACTGATACAGGTATGGCATAGATTGGGTATGTATGCATTATTTACCTGTATATGAACAAATAATGGCTAGTCTAGGTCTTTTCGGGATATAACGAGGTCATACACTGTAGTATGAGCTTATACTACATTGAATCTCAAGTTAGGTGGTATTTTTTTCATACAAAAATTTATTTATTATTGTATAGGATCTGATGAGAGGAAAATGTTATCACAAGATGAAATGCATTCTTAGGGATCTCAAGAATATACAGTAATGTGATGTGCTAAGAAGCTCTTGTTATGTATTTTGCTATTATGTCCTAAAGATAGGAAAGAAATGTCTCAATTATAACTTATCTTCACCTATTAATATATTTGCCATTTGAACTACTGCAATGTATAGTAATGTATTTTGCTATTAAATTACTAGAAGACATATGGTTTGATTTTTATTCATTTTTGTCTCTTTCCTGCTGCTTTAAGATAAATATATCTTTGGAAGATTTCACTGTTCAAATGAGGCAGGTGTCAGCAATTTTGTTTCCTAATACAGATATTCCAGTGTAAATAATTGACACCTTTCTTGAGAGGACATGTATGTCTTATGAAAAGGTTATTTTTCTGAAGGTATTAAGTTAAACTAGACATTTATAGCTTCCTCTTCAAATTATGCTTATCTTCCCAATGTTGTCATTGTTATTCACAATATTTTGATTCATTCCAACACCTTAGGT